ACGCTGCGCCGCACACCTAACCTAACCCCCCACGGTGTCCTTCTCAATTTTAATTTAATCTGAGCTGCAGACCAGATACGACGACGTACAATTCACCATTGTTTCAGCCAAGTCACTCATCTGACAAATGACTCCGGCTAATGAATGATGGCATGAATATTAATTGTGGACATGTAAAAGGAAAAGTGTGCGTACCTCCTTTTATGCAGAATATTTCGTACCTATGCAATTTTTCTTCCCAAAATCGCACCAATTTTTGCAGTAAATTCCTATGAAAAGTTATGGAATAATTCGTCTTCTCAACTTTCTAGGGGAACATATTTATTGTGGAGGTTGGAATTCATTGTGTAATACTTCATGTGCACATAGGTGAGGGAAATCATTAGCCAGGGTGCATAGTTATAGTTAGTACCGTATTCATACCAAATATTACACTCTAGAAAAGTGTAGTAGCCTCATCCAATAGTGCAAATTATTCAATTAGACGTTGCGAATTTTTTGCTAGGTTGCACATGTACGTACATTGTCTCTATTGCCGATTTCGAAAAGCTCTCTACATAAAAATTTTATAATTTGCATTCATTCACTGGTAGAAAATTCAGTGGAAGAACGTATGTATGTAACATGTCGTCCGTCCGTCCGCCAGCAACGTCGGCGAATTTCTTCATTTAGTCTCATTAGTTACTAATTTGCTCGTAATTTGCTGCATCTCGCATGCATGTATTATTGTTACATTTTCATCTGTCAGTCGAACAACACGAGCTCCAAGCAATAGCCGTCTGTCAGTCGTCGGTATCTAGAAGAAAACGTATTTGTAAATATCTTGGTCAATTTATAAATTGAGTTATTATTCCATAATTCATATTCTGAAAGCTACGTACATCCGCCACCACTACTGACTGATCCATTTACCGATTTAAGAATGAGTGACAGAAGAAAATACTTTAGAAAATCCGGGTTGAAAACTTTTAAATTGTTTCAAATTATTTTAAAGGTGGAAATTTCGCAAGTTTATGAATTTCTTGGGAACAAGGAGGACCTACGCATCCAAATATATTCACTTTCTACGTTGGAATGTCAAGTGTTATGTCGTTGGGGAGTCAGTTAGTTAAGCACACATTTAGTTAAGGATATCATGACCAATCCACCCACCCACCACCTCCTTCTGTACATACCTTATTTCACTTTCATTCAAGAAAACGTGTACTGAATCCCAACTAATAAGTCCACTCTTAAAAATGGGACCAACTCTACTGACACATAAACAGATCGTTAACACCAAGAACAACAAGTAACACATATGTGCTTGTGAAAAGACAAAAGAGTTTTTTTTTTAAATCCGTCACAACATCAAGATCCAAAAGCGAGATGAAAACAATGAGCAATTTCCATCAGGAGAGACGGACGGATACTTGACGTTCACTCATATTTGCCATTTTTTACGACCATGCACTCTGCACCACACCTGCAGAGCATTATTAGTCACAAAGACTCTCAATTGAGTTTAATTGCTCTGGTAAAAGTAAAAAGTTATTTTGAGATCTATAATCATGCGCAAAAAATCAATCCGGTTTAAAAAATCTGCCACCGGCGACGGACAATAATCGCTTCCTATCCTTCGAGGAAGGGAAATTCTAAACTGAAGGCAATTTCACGGATTTTATGCATCGATACGTACGTACGTATTTACGTAGGCTGGCTGGGTGTGAGGATTATGGGCAAGTTATTTTTGCCATTGTAAAGCTCAGCCTGAGGGGGAGGTATTGGATAAAATGAGGTGTGAAATGAAACCAAATTATTTTAGTAGCTCCGTCGCCACGCTCAGTTGAAATTTTAACCGTATGGATTTTAGGCATTTCTGGCTAATGAACAAGTGGCGAGATGTTATGTTACAGGGTGAGATTTCTGAGCTTATACAGCAGCCAAGTGTCAAGTTGAACTCGCTGCTGGTAAATATTGTATGTAGGATATTATACAAAGTAAGATTATTCATTTGCACATGGTGAGCCGTGTGGAGTGGTTAAAAGTTATTATTTATTAGCATATACAAGTTGGGAAAAGAGCGACGATAATAAAAATCCCGTAAATCTTATCTCACGTTGTGACAAGAAGGGTTCTGTGTGTGAGAATCTCCTAGCCCCAACTGCCTGCTGTCATTTAATGGGTTGACGAACAGTTGTCAATACGAAATAAAGTGTAAAATGATGACATTAGATTGGAGACAAATCCACAAAATCCCGTTTCCCGTAATCCAAACCAAGCAACATCTCAATGGATAAAACGAGTTATACATAAAGTGAACGAGTTATGTACTGTGCGGGTGGAGCTTAAACCTACGGCCTCCTGAAGTACCTTGTGCTGAGACTAGGGTTTCTCGTGAGTTTAGCTCCATTCGCACAGCACATAACTAACTCACTTCAAGTATAATTTCACATTCCAACTTATTTTCCCGTTTTCATCCACGGAATTATATCCATTTGAATCACGATCATCAAGTAATAGATGAATTTATATCGGCCTCATGTCTCAATTTGGAGTTTGGTAATGAGGAAGAGGTTAAATGAGGAAAATTGTAGATTCACAACTTGAGAAAGTCTCCATTATTTGGAATGATTATTCATTTTCGTCTAGAAATTCATTAAATGTGCATTAACCGTGATTTCATTTTGTTATTTATTCGCTGTTACCAGCACCACTTTAAAATAGGATATTGATTGCAAATATACAGATCAAGCTGAAATTGGTTGTTGATCGGTCGTCCAAATAATACACAATTTTACTGTGGTGTAAGTATATATAAAGTACTTAAAAATGCATGTTGTAAGCCACATAAGCATGTAACATCAATATAACGTCTCCCACCTTCTTGGTCAGAACCATTATGCCTGCCGAATTTTCTCACAACATTATTATTTATTTCGTCTGCATGATTTTTCCGGTTGTTCGCCAAACACAATGCGTCTCGCAAATATTATTATATCTCCTCTGAGATAATCTTGCCATTCGTTGTGAGTGCAGCAGCAGCAGTCGTAAAATGTGCAAATGCTCAGCTTCCCAAAATCTGGGATGGATCATCGTCATTTTCCTGTGCCATTTGAGCAAAAAACCATGCAACTGATGAAACCGCAGTCGACTAATCTTGAGATTACTATTCTAATATAATGCTCCCACCACCACCACCACCACCAACAACAACTTCGCTTACTTTACTTACCAAGCACCGAGAAGTCTACATAAATGGGCTGGCTTCATACATAGATTTTTATTCGCCACATATTTCTGGGCGCACAGAATTTCGTAACCCAGTTAACGCCAATTATACAGGAGGAGGATGGTTCATCTCATTATCAGAAAAGGATGGGCATCAGCCATGGCGCAGAATACTAAGCACGTTAGCGTCTTCTTATCACTGCTTAATAATAACCCTTCTGTGCACCATCTAACAGGACTGCAGGTTGTGGTTTGGCTTATTTCTCGTACACAAGATTTTGTACGACACAATGCCAGAGCACCACTGAAACAACTCAAAATACAACAAGTGTCAGTGTACTGTCGATAAATAATGATCAAACAAATTATTAAACAATGCCAGCACGACGACAATGACAGTGTTTCGCACACCGTCGAGGAAGGAACCGAGGAGGAAAGTAGGAATCGGACCACGGATCGTAGTTTCTATTAAGCAGGTTAAATGTTTCGTGTGATGACAGATTTCATGTATTTGTGATAATGTAGATAAACTGCAATCATTATTAAATTACCACTTATTTTTACTACCACCATTTGGTAATAAACGCTTTAACGATTTTAAATAATATGTAATACAATTACAAACATTTATTTATTTATTGGGAATGGAATAACAGTCTCATTTTTATGATTTTCTTACAAAAAATTGAGAAAAAGCAAAGCCTTTCCTTTGGCTAAGGTCTTGGATTTTTTGCTACAAATAGAAACCAGTAATTAAACACTTTTTTGTAAAGTTTTAAAGAGCAAGCCGACACATAAATAATTCAGCGCAGAGCAAAGAATTCCTCTCTTATCTTACAAACTAATCTACATTTTCTATTTGACTGAGCTAAACTCTAGCTGGTGGTGGGTGAGTGCCTAGTAGCGTTCATAAGTATATGCATGCTTCGTCTGGTAAATTGAATTCAGTTTTCGACTTTATATTAAAATTTTACATTACGAAATGCGAACAAGTGTGTGTGTGTGTTGACAGCAATTGGATTCGTTCAAGTTTTGAATCGAAAACATGCGCAATAATACAAGCACACACTTGAAAAGTTGGCTCTGATTCGCAAATTTCAAGGTTAGAAGGTAATGTGGTACATAACTTTATTTGTTAACTGTTTACATCCATTATAGATATTGAAATTATGAATGCATATAAAATACACGACAGATAACACCAAGATACAAGACCACATGCCGTATGAAGCAAAAGTGGAGATATTTTTTTCATAAATTTGCAAATTTTAAACCAATTTAAGAAAGCCAACTTGCATCCTCATTTGGCAATTGGTCAATTTTATTTTATGTGATAAATGCATTTTTAGCTTAACACCTTTTCAATTCTGGGTGTCTATACGTATTTTTTGTACAAGAGCTTCCTTGCTTATTAATGGCTAATTAAATTTATTGAATGAATGAGATAATAATAACACGGTCGCACTACACAACACGAATATGAACATATCGAATTCTAGTTTACATTTCATTTCACGATGTGAAATGAAAAACGCATTTTTTATTTTTCCGGTTCTTGCACTTGCATTTTTATATTTTTTTTCTTCTTTGAACGCTAATGTGAAATCCAACTATTTATTTACTTCAAGTTGATCAAGCAAATACATAAAGTTCAAGTCCAAAAGACTACGAGGTTTCGTATGTATGCGATACGTTGCGCATAACTTTTTGTTGTTATTGAAAATGATTTACTTTGCAAAAATTTTGTGATTTATATTTAATTTTTTTTCATTGTTCTCTGTCAATTTCAGACTTACAGCGAGAAGGAACAAGGTCGCGTTGTGGTGTACACGACGTCAATGGGCGTTGTTCGAGCCACCTTTCTCCGTTGCCAGAAAGTGAAACAAATTCTAAGAAATTTACTCGTCAAGTTTGACGAGCGAGATTGCTACATGAACCGGTCAATTCAGAACGAAATTCGAAACCGCCTTCCAAATCAAATGTTGGCACTTCCGCAAGTCTTTCTAGAGGGGCAGCTACTTGGGGTAAGTCCGACTCCTGGTTCTCGTCGTCGTCGTCCTAATGTCATCATTTCGTTTAAAAGGTTTTTTTGTCATGTCCACCAGAATACAAGTATTTCGAAATCACGCAGGGCTAAAACTAGTTCAGAACCATCATCATCACCGCATCACTCATTTATTTCATTGATACAATAAACCACCACCTACCAGTCTTGTAAATTGTACGTACGTATACGTACCTATAATAATGCGTCGAATGGCAGGAACAACAACAACTAAATTGCTGTGACTGACTACTGCGTGAACTCGTTAATTAACTTAACGCCCACGAACTGAACCCGTTTGTCCACTCGCGCACCGACATGAATGAAGTAGCAGCATTTTTACTTGAATCCATAAATCAAACAGACCTCATTCTTCTTCTTCAATTCATTCATTCATTGTGCACAATTTTACCAACGTGTTCCTCAAACAAGGAGAACCCGGTTTAACTTTCGCGAATTATTGCTCAAGGTCGTGGTTGGTTGTACGAATTCATGTAGAGTAAGCAAAAGAGAGGATTTTGACTAATTTTTATTGACGAATTATCATCATCGTCATCATCATCATGAGTTCTGTCAATTGGGGGCAATGATGCTATGCTGCCTTCTGAGCAGAATAGAATCTCGTTTATTCTGCAGTCATAAAAAGTTTGTTGACTTCTGAAATGCGAGTAAACATTGAGCTTTTCTACCTCAAGGCACGCACGCACACCATGAATGATAAATGTCAATATCACAAAAAACGAATCACATCAGGAAAGGAGGAGAAGTACGTAAATCTCGTCGTCTATCTCGATCTTAATTTTAATCCTGATCTTGATCTGTTTCAAGTTGAAGTGTTTATCTAGCGTACATGGGAATGTGCCCACGTTTATTTTCGTTTAGAATAATAAATGTTTGCACTCTTTTATGTCGTCTCAAGACTGGCTGGCTCGTCTTAAAGATCATGCTCTGAGAACGTATGGTACTTACAGAACAGGAGCACACGGAATACAGGCAAATACACAAAAGTTGGCGATTTAGGGCAAGAAAGAAATCCAATTGTCATTTAGGAGGTGGTTTATTTGTAAAATTCAATTGTTGTCACTACTGTAAGAAAACAATGGTGAGATGAGATTGGACAGAAGATCTCGACTAAATACTCCAATTCCGTCTCATTTACTTACTTTTGAAATTATTGGAGTTGAAAAGTTATCAAGTGGGCTAAGACCCCAGTGTGAAGGTTTGTCACGTTTAGCACGGTAGAAAATTTTTGTTGGTTTAACAGGTGCAGATTTAGGCTTTGAAATAAATGGTAGAAAAGTGTTAATTAGATGATTTAGAAGAAAAACAGAGCTAATTTGTCACCTCACTTTTCATGGCTGATTAGTATTCACCGTAATTTCATTTGCATAAAGATAGATTGCACAAAGTAAGTTAAAATTGTGACAAAATTGTAGTGATAAGGTGACAAAAGAACATGACGTAGTTAGTTATCATTGGTGATGATTAATTGATTGTTATGCATGCATGTGACTAGCCAAGTACGAGCAGCACCTGTGCATAACAAAGTCAGGTGTGGTGTCTGGCTATTAGCAGAATTTTAGAGAGTCTGCTCTAATAAATGAGGACGAAATACGCTACAAATTTGTAAAATGCTTGTTTAAATTTCAGGATGCCGATGCAATTGAAAAGCTCAACGAAACTGGAGAACTCCGGGACTTGCTCAAACCATACAAGGTAAAAAAAGGAGCTTATTTTGAGCTTATTTAGAAGTGTCAAGAAAAATGGTCACAATTTAAGTTTCACTCTCGTCCTACGTATGTAGCACCCCATGCACCTTCTCGCCAAGTTTTGCGACAATGGAGAAAAATTGAGCGACTCCTGAATACATGTGAATCCCCAATCTACTCCCATTATTATTTCGCATTTGTATATCAATTCTCCTCACACCGCATTTATCGCTCGTTGAATGGGGATGATTACCGTAATTGGTCACGATTTAATTCAATTTCGTTTCCATCATTCCTAAATTGTTTTGCCCATTCTCTCTAAAAATGTGACTCTTTACTTTCATTTCTGATTATTTGGTGAGTCAATTATTGACGAATTACTCTAAACTTTTTAGCATAACTGCCTGTTTAAAAGTTCGTTTATCACATTGGGGAGATTAAATGGAAAAGTATTTTTCTCTCCTTGTTCATTCAATCAAGTCGAATTCAAGCTCAATTGTTGTTCTCTCAGAGAGCAGTACGTGTGAACAATTTTAACCGAGTGGCGAATGAGCAGATTTCCATTTCATTACGGCAAAATCGAGAGAATTCAATCATGTCACGATTGACCTCGTAAAAACATGCTAAAAACAGAAATCACTTGGAATTGTAATTTGATTTTCTACACTCGGTGCTAATCACATGCTTGAAAACAACGTACATACACTTCCTGCAACAATTGGCGAGGAGTCGAAATTAATACTTTTTTAAACAGAGACTTGCTCATTCGGAGGCTTCGGTCTCTCTGTTTCAATTCGTGTCCTATTTCTTGAGGAGAAAAAATAAAAGGGTTTCCTTCTTGCGTTGCGTGGCATATCCACATTAGAAAAGTTGAAGCGATTCATCCAAGTATAGGATGATGAAAACTTAATATCTTGACGTCGTCATCAGTAATTTTCGTCATCACCAACCACCACCAAGCCCTCCTCAACTGCCCTTGCACTTGTCACATCATGACCGACTGGCAGGGGAAGAATGGAAGAAGAAAAGATCGAGGCCGACGACTGATGAGCGAATGCAGTGAGCGAGTGAACTATTGGAAATTAATTTGCCATGTAACTATAAACTCAGTCAGTTATGCGAATATACATAAAACCAGATTTGAACAATTGTCTTGTCATCATCTCCTGGTGGTGATGGTGGCAGGAGAAAAAGTTAGCAAATAGAAAGTGAGTAAATAATGCCCAACTTACTATTAGATTAGCCGGCTTTTCTGATGTGCTGCTGGTGCGATATTATGGTTGCTGAACAGAATTAGAAGACGATGATTGTTTTGTTTGATCTGCACTTTGCAGTCTTGTCCCGTCGGTCTGTTTTCAAAAAAAGAAAGGAATGCGCGTGGGTACGTGTATTTTTTTATGCATGTGTCGTTCGTATCTGAATGGTTGACCAAGAATACTACTTATAGAAACTTATAATTAAGCGTGTGTTGCTCTTCGTTAAGTGTGTAACTCTAAAAGTGAGCAACTTTCCTACTGTCATTAAAGGTATTGTAATATGGCTAATTTTGACATTCAAAAATGCCTTGTGTCGGTGACTGTTTATTCGCTTAGGAATGAAATTAAGACGAAAAAAGTTTCGAATGACAAGAGTAAAAGGTACAAAGTTGCAAAGTGATTGGATAATAAAGGCTAAAACTCGTAGGTGGTGACTACGATTAAAATTTGTGCAACGGCCGAGCCGGCGAATGAACCACGATGGAAGACTTCCATTTTCAGCTCAAGTTCTATGTCCTGTAAAATTTTGAAATGAATGAAAACTAAAAAATTAATTGGGTACAAGTATTTATTAAGGAGATAACTTGCCTGTGGGCCTTCAATGGGTTTTGCCAGAGCAACGACGGCTTGATACGGTGTGGGTCTTCGAAGCAGGAAGTGATTTCTTCCAGCCGCAGGGACGCCGTTGGGTGACCTCGTACTTTTTACCTCCAGATGGAAATGCATCACTGCTCCGGACCAACTGGGTCCTCGCATCGTGAACATGTCCACATAGCCCGTCGATGGGATACGGATTTTGGAAGTGAAGCTGATGTAGTTTTTGGAAATTGTCAATGGTTCCCGGAGACATTGGTGGTCTCGGTCCTTGCAAGGGACGGATTTTTTGCAACGGCTGAAAACGGAAAAACAAGTTGTTAACAAAGTCCAAAGTTTGAGAGCACATTGAAATAAAACTTTGTCCAACAAGGGAAACTACTAACTCGTTGAGATCGCCATCCCTGGAATAACTGGGAGGACAATCGATCCGATTACAACGGAAACCTCCACGAGTGTTGAGACATTGCTCGTCTTGTCGGCATGCTTGTGTCAGTGCACATTCATCAATATCTGCGTATACCGAATTGTCCCTTATTAATTAGTGTCGCAGGAAAGTTTTAGAGTAACAACATCATAGCACGACTGGTTTTGACCTTGACAAGTTCTGCTGTCACTTCCAAGTTTGTATCCGTCCGGACAGTCGCAGCGATAGGATCCATGAGTGTTCACACAGTTTCCGATACAGAGATAATTTCCCTCTGCCTCTGCACACTCGTCCACATCTCGGCACGATCTAATCAATTCTCATTACACCACGGGCCACAACTTTCCTTTTGTTAAAACATTCCATGCAAACCTTCCTTCCTCGCCCAAGGTGAAGCCGACGCCACAAGCACATTTGTACGATCCCCACGTGTTGATGCAGGTTTGCTCGCAAAGTCCAGCAATTGTTTCACACTCGTTGATATCTGGTGGTTCATGTGAAAATTGCAAGCATTTTTAAACAATTTGAAGATTCGTTTGTACATAAAAGCGGATTTATTCACCTGAGCAGGTTCTGTTGTCCGATCCGTGTTCAAATCCTTCCTTGCAAATGCAATGAAATGATCCGATCGTGTTGTGACATTCAGCATTACTGGCGCAAACTTGACGCTCGCATTCGTTCTGAGGTCACAATATTTTTTTCAATGTTAGAATATATCACGCAATATTGATAAGTACTTATTCTTGTGACGTACAATGTCTTCACAATTCCCAGAACGCAACGTGTGTCCCGGTGGACACTGGCAAATGAAGCCACCTCCTCTATTTAAACACTCTTGGTTTCCTTTGCACGTGTGAGTCCCATCCGCACATTCGTCCCGGTCTGGATTCAAATTCAGGTTTAGTCGGTATTACTTTGACGAAAATGAAAATTTTATACGACTGATATTTGCCAATAATTTCGTACCAACGCATCTATTCCCGGCAGGATCTGGTTCGAAACCAGCCGGACAAATAATTTTAGAAATACACTGATAAGAACCCATCGTATTAACGCATTGGTGATGAGTAGCGCATAGCGTTCTTCCATACGTCGTACACTCATCGATATCTATGAATAGATACATTTTTAGAAAAAAGTACAACGTTTCCCGTTCAGTGATGATTAAATCCTCACCAACACAGTCCCCTCGGGAATTAAACTGGAAACCTGTTGTGCACACGGATCGACATTCTCCATTTGGAGCAAGGGACAACCCGAGAGGACAATTTTTCTTGACTCGTTCACAAGTAAAGGAACCCAGCGTGTTTTTGCACTGGTACTCGGGACCGTGTCGACTGCAGTCATTATTCCCAAATAAGCATTCATCATCATCTGAAATGGGTCATAAATTATTATTCCTTCTTCATGCGAAGTGTACAAATTATGGAAAAAACGTATTAATTTATACCTTCACATTGTCCCGACCTTGAGTTGAGCGTGTAGCCCGTGCCACACCCCGTGATTCTGATGCAGGAGTAAGATCCCGGAGAATTGTCGCACCTTTGGCTCGCTAAACAGCTATGTTGGCCCGTTTGACACTCATTTACTAAAATTTGAGGACTTTCAATCATACAATTTTATTTGAGAGAGAAGCACACTCCAGATCGAGTGGATGGTTGTCTTACCATCTGCAAGAGTTAAACAGCAAGCATGAAATAAATTAATTTCACTGTCAATCACTGCAATGAGCACGTTAAGATTCGTGCTGTTATTAACTGTACCTTGACAGGAGCCCGTAATTGGATCTCTGTAATACCCCGAACGACACTGGCAGTAAAAACTTCCCTCAGAGTTTTGACAAATCTGTGTGCTATCACAAGGGTTCTGTTCTTCACATTCGTTCTGCAAGATAAAACATGGCACTGAACTAATCAAATTGAACCCCATGAAAAATTTTTGTCCCATATTTCGCATGAAATTGGCATGTAAGCTTAATGTCACGAAGTGCGTCTTAATTTTTCATGTGAGATTGAGAAAGGTCGACATTTGATTTGGAGAGCAAACTTACGACATCTGAAACACAAAATAAAGCAGATGTAACGCATTATTAAATATTGAAACTAAATCCCACAAAGAATTTACCAACACAGCTCGAATTTCCTCCACGGTCACTTCGACCTTGACGGTACCCGGTGGGACAGGGTCTCGGTTGTTGTCGAATAAAATTACTGCGCTCCGTTGTTCTTGGACTCGACATGATTGGCATTTCCGTCCCTTTCGGACACATTAGGTCGTTAATAATTTGAACACTCTTTTTGAGTAGCAGGTTGTAATATACATAACTCAATTATACCTCTGCTCCTGAGTCCCAAAGTTGATGCAGATGATACTGACCTTGTATTCAGAGCGTTATTGTCTTCCTCCTCGGAAATCTCGTTGACGTCATCGGTGTCATTATCATCATCCGTGACCCCGATTTCCGTAGAGCCAGAATCATCTCCTGCAGCAGGACTTGAGGCCGGTGATCCGCCTTCACATCGGTACCCTCCCATCTCGTTAATACAAGTTTCGTCCCTTCCACAAGTGTGGAGTCCTGTGTTGCACTCGTCGCGGTCTGAATGGAAATAACAATTCAATTAATCCTGACAGACTTCTCAGTTTGCTTAACTTGGAAAAAGTTCAGTTCAGTCCCAGGAAGAAACAAATACCTTGACAAAGGAAACTGTAATTTGGATTGGGTTCATATCCTGGAGGACAATTGCTGTCCTCGGAGTGGAGTTGGTGACACTGATAGCTTCCCGGAACATTAACACATCTCTCTTTGTCAATTCGACACTCATGAGTTCCTTCTTTGCACTCATCCTAAAATCCCAATTTCTTTGTTACACAACCTCTCAAATTTCCAACTTTGTAACAAAATATCCAGAAATCTCATTGCAACGTACCATATCTGTTATTGGAAAGGTGAAAATATCACTTAAATTGGTCATTTCTTTTGAAGCGGAAAAAAATCTGGCTTTTACCTTGACAAGTCCTGGCTCGAGTATCGTAGCGATAACCGAGCTCACATTTGGAGTCACATTCATAAGCACCTGCCGTATTTCGACAAACTTCAGAACCTCGCTCGCAACTATCGAGACTTTCCTTGCACTCGTTCACATCTAAAACCTCCCAAAATAAAGCACTCTTAATTGCAGAGCACATAATACGTCCGACGGAGGACTGAAAACCCCAATAAACTCACCATCACAATTTAGCGTTGCATTATTGAACTTGTATCCGGCTGGGCAGTTGTACCGTTGGAAATCTTTCTTGCTCTGACAGTCAAATCCACCCGGAGTGTTGATGCAGTACTGGATTTCTCTCACGCAAATGTCAACCCGGAGTTGGCATTCATCAATATCTAATAAGTAATCGGAAATCAAAACAGCAGAGCATAATTATTCATGAGTATGGATCATTCTTCAACCTCAATCCTGGTCGAGAGGTGACCTTGCTAAATAGTTAACCAGCTTGTTTCCTACCAACACAGTCCCCAGTGGCTTCTTCGATCTGATAACCCGGTGGGCACACGGGCTGTTGACCTTGGCCTGTCGCGGTGGCAGCATCCTCACAAATAAATGAACCCACGGTGTTACGACAAGTCTTGTATGGGTAGCAAGCTCTATTTCCAATCTCTGTCAGACATTCGTCCACTGGAAATAAAGTTGCGTAATGTTAAGCCCAGTCCAAATCCTTGTTACGAAACAATGCTTAAGTATCTACCATCATCACAAACTTGTGAGCTTGGATTGTACACGAATCCTTGGGGACACTGGCCCAGGGACGGTCTGCTTCTGTTCATAATATTCACTTTGGAATAAATGATGGGAATCTTTTCTATTAAAAAAGTTCTTAATTGCTGTCATCGCACCTTGAACTTGATTCCGGCATGGATGTTGTTGTGTCAAGTTGGCAGGATTTGGCATCGGGTAGGAGACGAAATCCTTCCCGGCAGGTGCATCGATAAGAAGTTCCTTCGCTGATGCAATTGTGGGAGCAAAGTTGACCAGGAAATAAGGAGCAAATGTCTCCCCGTTCTCCACCCGACCGTGTCACTGGTGGGCGGTAAGACGATGAGGACGACGATGGCACCAGAGAAATTTCGGCTGATAAGATAGAAATTACATGGTAGTTATCATCCTATTTTCTAAAATTACTGGTCTCCTGGTTTCGTACATGTAGGATTCTTACCCTGCGGGGACTGTGTTGTGCTGAGAGACGTTTTAGGCGGAAGTCCACCCCGTCCCCCGGCTTGTAGGCAGCATTTTGTGAGGGAACTATCCCACGGGGGTCCTAACGCCAGTTTCAGAGAGTGAAACTCACAGTAAAGACCCATCGCTCCGGCGTGCAGTCCTAATTTGCATCCTTCACAGCAATCCTGGTAAACAAGCAAACCATGAATTTGGTAAAATTTCATTGAAATTAAAAGGAGAACGAATTTTAAAAAACTTGTCGCTATCGAATTTGTACTCTACTCTTTTACTTGATCGTATTCAACTGGTCTGTACATAAGTCATGGTTTTAATGAAACAAATTAAACCCCACTAGAATCCAGTTTTTAATGTATTTCCATCATTATTATCACATCGTCTGATTGAACACGACAAATATTTAAATCACATTTTATTTTTTTGTTAAATCAAGTCGCCAAACATGAATAATTTTGAGAGTTAATAAACCGTCGCAAACGCGCATACGGAAGTAGCTTCAGACTACTTCACTCCAAGCACTCCCACGACATCGCGGGAACACTTGATTTTACTGTATTTCATCTATACATTCAATTTTTTCAAAAATCTCATTTTGCCCCGACCACACCCCCTGGCGCCCGGGGGGTGTGGCACAACGGGGGAACTCAAAATTTCACTCCATTTCATTCATAGATTCAATTGCACTAAAAATCTCATTTTGCCCCGACCACACCCCCTGGCGACCGGGGGTGTGGTCCGGTTGCACCCAAAAGTTGATAGGATCCTCCCCCTGGGGTATTACGTATGATGGCGAAAACCGATTTCGATTATCTTTATCCGTTCTCCCGTTATCCTGCTGACAGACAGACGGACAGACAGACAGACAGACAGACAGACAGACAGACAGACAGACAGACAGACAAAGTCTTCACATAAAGTAGCTGAAGCTACTTAATAAATTATTATAAATGCTTAGATACCACCCTTCGAAAAGAATAATAGGGACACGTTTCGTGGTAAATATATGTCGTATAATAATCCACAAAAACGCCCTCTCGCGACCCAGGGGGCGTGGTCAAATGTCAAATATGAGCAACCAATGTGTGCCCTTCTGAATAACACTGCATCTAGTCGTTTATATGTAAATATGCTTACTAAAGTCTATTCTGGGAGGAATTACCTTGTGATGCTGGGCCCCAGAACCGCTCCCCAACCTGCATTCTTGTCCTGATTTTGCAGCCATTTGTCCTGCCACGCATTGCAACTCACTGCACAAGGGACAAACCACAAAATACTTCATTACTCATGTATGTATACATTTTATGCTTTCCATGATTTGGGGATAACTTGCCGATAACTTCTGCGACAACATGCATCAATTGTTGATAAGCAAGGAGCCTGATGTTCGGCTGACACACCTTTGACCGGAGTGGGGTACTCGGAACACGTATTGTTCTCCCACGACCATCGCACTCCCACGGTGCAACATTTCGAGAGCGTGTTTTCTAATCCGTCTTTAAAAATTTCCATATTTCCATATTTTAAAACGAACGCATTCGATATTTTTATATAAAAAAACTATCTAAAACACACCTGAAAATGAGGCACGACCAAGAACCAGCAGAAGTAATACGACAAATGTAACCCAATTCACCTTCACTTTTAATTGTTCCATGATGATTTCTATATCATGAAAAATTTGTCAACACATAAAAAGAACTAAATTCAAAAGAAAAAATGACAAAATAACTGACGAATAAAATCAAGTCGAGAGATTTTGTATTGGATTCCTGATCAAAAGAATACCACAGGAAATTAAAAGAGCCGTCTGGTCAACTCTTTGTGCAAATATTTGACCACTCGTCTTGGTCTTTTGCTTCCGAGATGGAAGTATGTATTGGATTCCTCCTCCACGTTCTCACAAATTGGTCTGAACCTCTGTTAATAAATAAGTAACTAAATATACTATTAAGGCAAATGTATAATAATAATATCATCATCATCCTCCTCCTCTTCCATCCATCACGACTTGCTCGAATTCAGTTTACTGGAAAATATTGTCCAACGACGGACCACTTTGGCGTGGAATGTATGGGAATTGAAGAAGTATGTTAGTGGGATAAAAGACGGGAGAAGAAGTAGCAAGTGTTGAGTTACATGATGTCAAATTGAAATGTCAACTCATCAATTTCGTCTTCACTCTCTACGCTTACACATGTTCAATACATCCTCGTACTTGGATGATGGAATTGGGCTTATCTAACAAGGCCATGCAGAGTAACCAAATCTAAGAAATTAGGCGTCATCATCGGTTGTTCAGTGTCACCAGACTTATTTTATGACTTTCCTCACGTATTAATCCAGTCCAATTACTTGAGAGAGTCGAGTAATAAGTATGCATTCACTCTCCACGAAATGAATAACCCAGGCTCCAGAAATAGGAATTGGTTTCGTTTACGTCGTTGCAATTACACGACGGCGGCGTGGGCTAATTACCCTTCAGAAAGAAGCCGTTATGTGACATTTACATATTTATGGTTGTGATGCAATACGATGCATAAATAGACTCATTATTTGGTCATAAATACTTATGAATTTTGTATGTTTCCTATTTTGCAGAGTTTGTCGGTGTTGAGCACGTGTGAAAAGTGTGGAGGTTTCCGGATGCTCCCATGTCAAATTTGTAACGGGTCGAAAAAGTCTGTTCACAGGAATCACTTTACGACAGAGTTCATCGCTTTGAAGTGCATGCATTGCGACCCCTCTGGCCTCGTCCGCTGTGACCTCTGCAATTCTCCAGATCCTTAAAGTGTCCGGGTGAGTGGGTTCTCTGTGGAAAGAAATCCCCTCAATATTTACGATTCATCTACATTTAAAATATATGCACGTGTCATTAACCTTAAAGTTCATAAATTGAATTTCAGTCAGGCATGGAGCCCCCTTTGAGACCAATGTTCATCATCATCACCAACAAGATCAGGACGAAATGAAGATGAAATGAAGTGAAAAAATGAACGAACAAATTATACAATGAATAATTAATGCTGACTGGATTTATTTCGAGTTTTGTACCTTAAAGATTTAAAAAACTATTTAATTTTTATAAATTTTTGTATCACGAGAAGAATCAAATCTTGTAGAATTTTTGTTCAGATAAGTCCAATTTGTGTGATTTTTTTTTGTATACAAGAGATTTGTTTGTGAAGTAAGAACGAATGCTACAATTATGGTGAAAACGCCTTTTTTATGAATTAGTAATGTATCTAGGCTGGAGTTTTATCGAGTGAAAAAATCAAGTCCTTGTAGATCCTTAGTTTTTAGATGTTGTTTTTCTGACCTGTACAGCTTAAACATGTCTCAGATTATATCTTCTTGACGTATTTTTTGTGTAATAATCTTTTGTATTTCGCAGTACAAATTAGTCATTCTATAAATAGTCCCAGAAAAACTCTTGATAATTGATATGAATTCCTCCAAAACATCGTCTTACTCGTTCATAATAATAATTTTAATTATTTACATTTATGTTCTCTTCTATTTACTCGCTCCACTACAATTTCCTTCATACAAAATTCTAACAAGTTTGCACATAATTTATTACAATTGAATTATTAATTAACTAATTTTACGATAGGTAATGTATTATATAAAGAATGCATGTATGTGAAAATGTAAGAGTAAATATGATTTAATATGCTGTTGTAAATCGGTGGTGTGAATTTGTGTGCTAAAAACAGTGAAATAAATTTGTAGACTACAACTACAGTACTATTCGTGAATTCTGCTCTTTGTAACAAAGTGCGATTCTACATAAGCACGCGTCGTTCAGAGTTTCAATCTTTTGAATTATTTTACCGTGTTGGCTTTGATGATATGACAAATGACAAGCACAGACAGAACCTTCTGCGCATTGTGAGTACCATTTTTAATGGAAATTTTCTGATCAATTGCCTCAATTTTTTTGATATAAACTGTAAAGACTTGCCACGAGTGAGGCATTTTTCCAGTTTTTCCAATTCAACCTTGAGTATTTTTTTAAATTTCTAGAATTGTAAAGAATTCTCTATGTAAAAAGTAAATACATTCAAGCGAAAACTACGGAGGAGTGAATTCCTTGAACAATTATTTATAAATCGTATCTGCATTCTTAAAAGGAATTCTGTTCTCTCTGTAAGCATTGAAATTGGAAAATTCCATATTCACACAAATCTGTATGAAAATATGTGTACCTAAAATTTACACGTGCTAAATAGACTTTTGTTCTCAGAATCACTTTTTCAACGAAAATACGACAATTTGCACCATTCCAATCTGAGTTGGAAAAGTTTTCTGATTAGTTTTGCTCTAACTTTGCGATTTTTTTTTGTGGGGTAAAAGCTTCCATTGAATATTATTTATTTGACTGAATATGTAAAGAGCAGAATGAATTTAGCTTGTCGTGAAATCAACCAACTAATGCGAAATTGCAAATTCAATGAAAGTTAATTATTTGTCGTTTTGAGATCCGAATGGCAGTGACAATTAACTTATTCCAACTCGGCCGAATTCAATGATTACATTTTCAGTCTAAACTTCATAAAACCCGTTTAAACTTTTCAAATATTTTACAATATGGCACATAAATATTAAAATAGACGCAGAATTGTATCGGAAAATGTACATTCGTCAGCCCACACAGCAACAGCATATTCACCTAAATTAGAGTCACCATTGAAGTGAATTGAAGCATGATCGAGACTAATCCAGAACCCAGAGGACAAAACCTATCGGAGAACAACCAAATTGCTAGGAGCCATAAGCTTCAAACGTTTCAAACCATATTGAACCAAAATTGCATGATTTTGAAACTGGAGCCCAAGGACAAACACGACTTTACATAGTTTCTAAATTCCACGAAATGTATTAATTGTATTAATTTCTCAGAAAGATCTGGATCAAAAAAGTAAATATACCGAACAAGAGTATGAACTTGACATTTAGTAAAAGTAGAAAATAACAGTATTTACAACTAGTTCCTGCACAGGACAAAAAACGTTGTTATTGGACAAACAATTGATGCACTAATACAGAAATATCAACGGTCCTTAATAACGAAGTGAATTGGACGGTGCATAGAAACCTGTAACCTCAAACTTTGTTTGGCGACTTGCACTCATCGATTCATGGACAGCAAGCACTGCATTATGTCAACCGCCCGACTGTGTGAGAGATAATTAAGTTATTGTGGCCGTGGTGCTATTATATACACTCCAGCCTCAATTATGGATATTAATATTTGTTGTGCTCAGATATAAGTAGCATTCCCTCTCCGTGATGATGGTCTGGTTAGTGGTCACAGGGAGGAAGGAGGCTTATGCATCACCACGACCGAGAAAACAGCTCCTCCATACTTACTTAAGTATGTGTGTAATGGGTGTTCTCAAACAAAACCACGTTACACAATATGTACCTCCTTACGTAATATTTCTTCGTGTCTATTTTCCAATTTAGTTTTAATCCCACGAAACGAGATGACTTTATTCTGTGCCCTGACGAACATTTACCAGTACATAAATCTTCCTCATCAAGAAAAAAAGCCGAGGGAGCGACAGCTCTTTTGCTTGGCCACCGATGCAGAGAGAATCACAAACAGAATATCTAGATGCTTGCATTACTCGTGGTGGTGGTGGTGATATTTATTCTGGGATATTTATTTATCCAGGAGACTAATAAGCAACGGAGGGTCAATTATAATCATGCGAAAGGAAAACACATTTTGGGAGGATGAGATGATACGAGTTACGTAAGGAGGGAGGGAGGGAGGGAGAAAAGCTGATCTGTTGACAGACCGTGCTTCGTTTGCTCATCGGTTAGAAAGATGGTTAGGTGAGAGAGAGAGAGTTTTTGTTTACCAGCTACAACCGAGGTCAATATTCCGCCCTTTACATTGTACATGGAGGACTATGGATCAGTACACAAAGCAATTAGTCCACGAGCCGATGATCCGTCCTGCAAAACGTACCCTCTCATTTGATTGACAATTTTTACAATTTCCAAACATTGATATCTTCCCTTCTCAAGGAAATTGATGCACATAAGCGTTTTCCACAATCTCGTCGCTAAAACATGGACACGTACTGACAAACAAAGTCTCAATGCTGGGACTTTGTTATTAAGAGAAGATAAATAAATGGTCGAACAAGGAGACGACGAAGGGTACGAGAAGGAGCTGAGCGTGGTGGATTGGGTGACCTGTTGCTTCCACTTTCTCCAATTCCATTTCCTCCTCTCCTCCATAATAATATAATGTGATGCGATACTGAACATGATAAAAGAAGAGCACTAACAGAGTGAGTAGGGGCTGAGCAGAAAAGCACAGTGCCAGAGTAAGAACCGACTGTGTGCAAGGGCAAAAACTGCCTCAAATAATAAAAGAAATCGAGGAAATGAGAACATGTTGGGGATAAAACCCCGGAGAAAGTTGGGAGTTTGGTTAGTACGGACACAGCAGCAGGAGCCTCGCTTCTCTCTCTCTCTCTCTCTCTCTCTCTCTCACTCTCTCTCTCTCTCTTCAACTAAATCTGCAGATTTGCAATACCCAGCAGTAGAAAGAGCAAAGTTGCTTCAGAATCTTTTACCCCCAGTAAAACCTTCTCTGTCGCAAATACTGAATAAGACATGCCTACCACCGGGGCACATGATTAAGTCAAATCAAGCTTTTGAAAGGAAAGGTCACTGATATTCTATTATTCATTCATCCCGTCTCGCTCGCTCTTTCGTCTGTTTGGAAACGGTCGGTAAATAATATTCATTCCCAAAGAGAGTGAGAGTTTGTTGATTCATCATCGACATGGAAAGAATGGAGGAGGAGAAAGTTGAGACTGTCGACGACGCCCAGAGTGTTGGGAGTGAATGCAGTGGTGGTGGCAATGTTGGGGAAATGGCGAAATTCACGCAACAAGTTATGGCCGACGTGGTGGCCACGATCACCGCACCCGTCGAAGAAGTCGTGGGGGTGGTGGTTCCTCCTCCTGCTGGGGACGAGGGCAGTGCTCCAAGCACTCTTTCCCAAGATCGACCCTCGCTGCCCAGCCATTTCAAGTCCGATAAGAGCCCACTGGGGAGAATACCAAAGCTCGAGAGGTGAGTACCCAATAGCTCAGAATTACCCAAGAGCTGTCGCTCCTGTTCCACTAATTCTTCAGTCATGACAATATTCATCGGGTTGCAAAGCACTCAACACTGTTCGGTCTAATCTGTAGGAAAATAATCAGAAAATGAGTGAGAATTCGACCGAATGGAAGCATTTTTTTCTTTTGCTTTGACTTTACTGCAGCAAATATTTAAAAGCCTGTAGAGCAATAAGTTCAAGGTGCTCAGGTTGGCGTGCATTCATGGTCTGCTCCACGGCTGCGGTTTTTTTTTGTTCTTTTCTTGTTCTCTTCGTAAGAGTAAAAAGCTCTGGAGAGAATCGCCCGAAATTGGTACGGGATCTTGGGCCAAAACCAATTTTCTATGATGTGTCAGGGTTGGATCAATGTGTCATCGTTGCGTTTGTATGTACATATGTACGTACGTACGACCTGACGTGTGTGTGCATGCATGCATGCTTGTTTTGTATTCACTGCTACATATCAAAACCGATTGGATTAGATAACACACGTATGTTTCGAAAAATGCAAAGCGACAAAAGTAAACTGATTTTTTTTCTCTCTCTCTCTCTGTTTTTTTGCATGGAGTTATATAAATTTTTGTGGGTGGATGGATGGAAGGTTAGAACACAAGAACAGCGAGTCAGTCAGTCAGTCGTCGTCGTCGTCCTTCTAACTTTTTGCTGGCAATCTGCTCTTCCAATGATTCTCAATTTTCTCCGAGTTCATCAAGAGAAGAAGGATGTGGAGGCAGCATCACTTTTCCATTTTCCTTTTTCACATTTTTCTCTCTTTCTGGCCTTTCTGTGTGGAAGCAGGGGAGTGGAGGAGCGAACGTGGTGGTGTGTCAGGAAGTGAGTGAGTGAAATGAAGCAGAAGAGGTCTTGCCCAAATCAATTTTAGTTCTTGAAACAGCAGCAGCAATCCTCGCCGCACTATCTCGTTTTCGCCTACTTTCGCCATCCCCTCTTCAGCCTAACCTCCCATCCATCCTGCCTGCCTCCACGGGTGAAAGTAGGTGGGAGGAAAAACCGTATATGATCCAGGCCAATCCACACTCGGGGTTCTCCTTAACACGCACATTCTCATTTTTCAGCTACACAACTCCGCTAGAATATTAACTCCTCGACTACAATAAACCGCATACAACGTATCATGCAAGAAAACATGTACACTTTCTGCCAGGCAAAAGGTGGGTGAAAGTGCGAAGAAAGGAAACAATGGGATGCACGTGCATAAATGTATTCATGATTTGAAGCCCTAAAAGGGTATGTCTACTCATGTACGCTGTCTTCTTGGAGGAAACATGTTTGTGTAGTCAAAATCCGTCCCTATTGCACTTTCGAAGAAATGTTTTCCAAATGTGTGACATTTATTTTGAGACGGCGAATAACTTTCAAACCGAGAACTTGCCAGAGCTCTCGCACTTATTAAAATTTGGTGCTCCACAATTTGTGGAGAGAGCAGCAAGCGAACCGTAATATTTCAAAATTGTCCTTCGCGTTCCTCATGTTTCGCACGGTGTAATAATTTTGCATGCATTGATGCGTAATTGGTCTCATTATGTGGTGGTTGGTTGGTTGCCTGGTTGGAGGAACACGGCTGCGGATGAGCCGCCGTAAAGGAGCAACTCTCTTCGGAAACTGGTTTGGAAATAAACTCGAAAATGATATTCTCAATAGTGGCAATAACAACCAGGGCACTCATCATAACTCCAGATTTGCTTGTAACGATTTACCCGTCTCAATTTAACGGTAATAGGAAAACAGAGTTGCAGTTGTTGAGAATCAACATCAAATCCGCGTGCCGACTATTTTCCGGTCAATTTGCGCAACATGTATTGCAGAACTTGTGTCTATGTATGCATGCATGAAGAGAGTACACCATTTTTGCAAGAATTTTGCATAATGGCCAAACTGGAACTGTGTATGCATACATGTTGCCCAAGTTTTTTCATCTTTGTGTCTTTTAAAGGCTTCATTTCCCCCAACGAGAAGTTATTCACGTCGAACAAACACGAGGTCTGTTTGTAATCGGATTTATAACTTTGTGCAGTAAATATCAACAAATTGCATGAAACGCGGAGCTGTTTGCCATGTAGTTGGGAAAGCGAGGACACGGAGTTTGGCGTGGTGGGGGCAGTCGTGTGGTCGAGCATGGACGAATAACGACATGATTTAAAATTTAATGAGGATAAGATCAAAGTGCGCAAAGTTTCCTGGTTCATTATTTTCCAAATTTTCTGGTCAGGTTACCTTCGCCGTGCCTCGAGCGGTAGGTTAACCTGGCTTTTGTGGTATTTAAGCGCGTGTGGTGAAACCCTTTGGCTCACTCTGTTCGTACGTATTGACTGCTTACAACATGTAATACCTTGAGGCTCTGGTATCGCAAAATTGGTAATCCCAACGGAGTTAATTAAAATATATCCACCTCCTCGCGAAATACTCGCGAATTTCGAAACCCAAACCTTTGTGCGATCGACAAGCCACGTGGGAGTGTGTCACTCAGAGCGGCGTCCACACCGAATAACTAAATAATCCTATTTAATACGTATACGAGGCATATTATCCGAGTATGTATCCATCCATGTTGGATCATGACACATGATGTGACACTGATCAGCACATTTGCTTGCTCCTCGTTACGGATTTATTTTCCACGTAGGTACGTGACCCATTTGGATAATTGCGTTTCAATAAAGTTAGCATTGGACTTATTGGATGTCAAAGAATTTGAAAGTCTCGATCATATTTCTCAGAACGCACGGGTTTGTTCCACCTCATTTTTAAAACGTATTCAAGCAAAGAGAAAGTCCGCCTTTCTGAAACCTCTTTCTTTGTTTTCCTGCCTATTTCTCTGGAAAGCCTTTCATCTTTCATGGAGAACTGGCTGCTTTCTGCTTGTCCTGTTGTGCCTCTTCATTTCCACGAAGCGAACCGAATTAAACAATTCAAGCAAATATTGAAACTATTTTCTCAACAATTTGTAAACTAGTCCATCCGCCATGTAAAAGAAAATAATAAGTAAATAGATGTAGGCCAACGGCAGCAAATTTTAGAACAATCGTGCCTTGTTGCCTTCCTCCTTCTTCTCCTTCTCGTCATTAATAATAGTTTGAGTTTGCAGCACCCTTTCTCAAGTTGGGTTGGCAAAGTTGAGAAATATTTCAAGATAATCATCCAGACGGCTTCTTGGTGAAGTGTATAAATAGAAGCTCAAGCTCCTGGCTGGCAGATCGTGTGGATCTTGCTTCCAGAGAAAGAGGACATCATCATGGATTGCAGAGATCAAACAAGAAATCAAATTCAATTAAATAATTAACGCTCAAAATGCCCCGCAGTCTCGTGAGGAAGGTTTTCAAGGAGAAGTTGTGATCCCTTTTTGCCTCCCGTTATGAGAGATAAATAGGTCCTAGTTAGGCAAATAGGGAAAATATGCGCCGTGTGAGTCTGCATCTGCATCATTCACGTTTATTTTGTCTCATTTGATGATTGGAAGAGTTAGTTTACTTGCTGAGAAGAGAAAGCTCATTAGGCAGACGTAATTAAAATTCAACAGCCTGCGGAACTATGTATGGCGTGGTGGCGGGGACGTTATATATTCTTGATTACCTGGCTTGACTCTCTCACCCTTCGCAACCACCACCACCACCACCAACAACAATATTATTATTACTTTTGGAGAAAGCAAGTGGAGTGAAATCACGTCAGTCGGCTCACCTCTCCATCCAGCCACGTTTCAACAAAGGCGAATATATTGACAAGAATTCTGGACGAGTTGGAGAAGGACCCACTGCTGGCGAGGAGCAGGGTCACCCCGAGTGGTTATAATAATAAAAGTCCTCCTCTTAAACCTCGGCGAGGCGAGGAGGAGAGAAATGGATGTAGTATTTTATAATCTTTGACTTTTTGAAGTTTGTCTTTCCGTAAGTAAAAGCATGCTTGAGAGGAGAGTCAAGTAGTGGAGTGGATGGAGGATGAGTGTAGCCTTGCTTACTGCTCATTTATTTAACAAGTAATGCGCTTATAAAGTCTAAATCAAAAGTTAATGGAAGGGTTTTCTCCTGGCCTGTTCGTCTCATCAGAGTGACGTGTAACTGTTGCTGATGGAATATCATCTCGTTAAAGGAGGAATAAATAGAAAACTCGTCCAGGTTTTGGCCCAGATTTTGATTTCGACTCGATTCCACACTACTCCTCGCTCCTTCAGTAATCTGCAACATTTTCGAGGCAAAAAGTATGTTCCCAGCGCTGGCACGGGACTGATTTACCTTCTCCTCCGTCCGTAGTAGTAGGGACGGACGGAGAGGAGACTGGCTGGCTAAGTAGACAGTCGTCAGTCAGCCCTTCAGCGGAAAATGAGATAAGGAGGAGGAGGAGGAGAAAGTATGAGGAAAGAAGCCGAGGCGAACCTTGTGTACGTGAGTGATGAGACTTGACTTTAATTTAGCGAGTGACTCTGTACAAGAAATTCGCTCTTTCTCCGCATTCATCTCTCCTCCGCGTGTGTTCCGTTGGTGGACTCGACTTCTTTATGAGCATTTTCCAAACTCGATTGTGAGGATGAAAGAGGACTTCTTGTTCACTCGTGTGAGAATGTTCAAGAGGGAAACAAGAGCTCAATTATCCAGAAGCACAGACTTGGGCTCTCGCATGTCTAACAAGCCATCGGAAGCTCTTCTTCTGCTATCCCTCATTTTTTTTAGCGAAGCGATACCAGGGCTGGATCAAGAGGGAAAAATTCAGGATCAGTCGACCGCATTATTATTCAAGGACCTCTATTAGTTAGAAATTCATGGCCAAGTGAGTGGGGCGCATTGTTGATCTTGGAGAGATTCTACCCCCATATGCATTCCCATTGTTTTCTCGTCCGGCTGCCTACCCGTCCTCCACTTTCTTTCTCGTGGCAGGAGTAGTTTGAGCTCTTTTAAGCGTGACGCTTTCTCTAAAATGTCTCGGCTAAAGAGCAACCAAGTAAAAAGACAGTTAGTTT